AGTAGAGTATGTGTAGAGGAAATAACATTAGTGGGGTTGAAGGGAACGTTTGAAAATACAGAAAGCCAGTGTACTCGCCAGATACCAACCAGGATGCCGGTGAGGAGCTGAATCGGAGAAAGCCAAGACCGATGAAGGCCCCAGCGAGGTATCACCAAGAAGAAGATAGCGTCGAAAATCATTGTGCGGTGTACAGGTAAAAGAACACAGTCTTGGATAACACTCTGCCAGACGTGCCACTTGGTGGGGCAGTCCAGTAGAAAATGTTCTTGAGTGTCGAGAGCAGTTGTGCAGATTCCGCATTCAGAAGAGAAACGGTCGGGCAGAATCCGATGTAAATTGGCATGACAGGAGATTTTGTGATGGAGAACACGCCACCAGATGGTCCGTGCGAGGGGTAGAATACGGGCACGCCAAAAGGATTTCCATTGTTGCGGTGAGAACGAAGGATAGTTTGTATCAGCAATCGCAGACTGAATGTCGGGCAATTGGCGTTGTAGCCGAAATGCTTGGGTACTACAAGAGGCCAAGGGCGTATCGTTGATAGCGAAGCGATCGTAGAAAGGTGTGAGATCAACGGACCCCAAATACGATCCAGCATCGGAAAGAACTGGGACACCAGGTAAAAGCGCGCGGTAAAGAAACAAAGTAATGAGTGCCTTGCCAGAGTCCAGAGCACGGAAAAGGTGAGAAATTGAATTACGACCCGTTGTGATCTCATCGTGGGTACGTCGACGAAGCCGGTTAAGCGAGCAGTCAAATAGGTACGCGTCAGAGACACGCAAGGTAGCAAGAACCTTCTTCGGTGTAAAGGAACCAGGTGTAGATTCTTGTATGACAAAGGACAGAGGCAGACAAAGACACGTGGCCAATGACGGATCAGACTTCAATTCACCAGGAACGAGCGAGTCGATGGCACCAAAAAGAGGCGATAGGGTCGGAAAAGACCGGAATGCTGGCGAGCGCAGTGGCGGGAAAAGGAAGGGAAGTAGTGGATCAATACAATTTGAGAGAGAATTCAATAGATAAGAGAGAAAAGAGGAAAGAGAAGAAATGGTAGATTGTTGACCAAGAATATGAGAAACCCATCTGATTTGCAATGCCTGTTGTTGGATATTTGAATCTAATATGCCTAAACCACCTATAGATTTGGGAAGAGTGAGTATAGAATAACGAACAGGGGGAAATAAGCGATGCATCATGAATTTGGTCACCAAACTGCGTATTCGGTTGTGACATGATTGTGGAACAGGGGTCACACGCAGGCATGCCAAAGTTTTGAGAGCACCAGGGCGTTAACGACAGTAGCACGGCCTTGGACTGACAAGCCGCGTTGCAAGTGGATGTCACAAGCAATCTTTATCTTGGAAAGTAAGCCGTCAAGGAAAGCCATTAGTTGTGCAGTAGTAGAGGCCAGTGGATATCCAAGATACACAATGGCGGACAAAGACCGATAATCATGCCATGCCCGTATACCCGCAGTTGCCAAAAGTATCTGCCAAGCAGGTTGCGCAGCCCCGGATAAGGAAATGGCTTCGGTTTTGTGGTAATTGATGCGAGCGTTCGAAGCACGACTGTAAACAGCGAGAGAGTCTTGTAGACGGCGAAAATCTTCTGGGCCATTCAAGAAGAAAAGCGCGTCGTCGGCGTATGCCAAGACTTTAACTGGTGGAGGGCAAGCAGTAGGGAGCGTCCCCATTGGTTGGCCAAGAGTGAAACCCAAGAAAGACGGATCGGCCAAAACTGTTCGCAGTAACGGATCAAACGCCAAATTAAACAGAATTGGGAGAGAGGATCGCCTTGTCTTAAGCCCCGACCTTGGGAGATAGAGTCGCTGAGATAGCCATTAACAAAGACAGAGATGGAGGTACTAAAAAAGAGAGTGCAAAGTGAAAGAACCAGTGACATGGGGAGGCCGATGTGCAAAAGAAGAAGGCGAAGATAGGTAGGATGGACCCGATCATAAGCCTTTTCTTGATCTAGCAACAAGCCAACCCTAGGAAGACGGTGATATCGTGCATATTCCATGACAAGGCGAGCAGTGAAACCGTTTTCCGCAATGAACTTACCAGGAAGAAAACCGGATTGAGCAGATGATATAACAGGCCTTACCGCTGGAATAAGACGAGAGTTGAGCAGGCGAGAATAGACTTTGGAATCTGTGTTACTCAAGCTGATGGGACGCTAGTTTTCAAGGCGAGAGAGATCATTCCGCTTGGGAAGTAAACAGAGGCGAGTCTCGGACCAAGACAATGGGAAAACTCCGGCGAAAAGTGCATCATTATATACAGCAACAGCAATGGATCCAGCAATATCATGATCGAAGAGAACCTTCAGAATGGGATACGGGAGTCCATCACTACCAGGACTACTGGCATGGGGAACCCGGCGTGCACCCAAGCGAATGTCTTCCAGAGTGAACGGCGCCATGAGGTGAGATTGTATGTGGGGGTCGTTGAGCGTAGCACATGGTACCACGCGCAATAACTGCTGAATGGCATCATGATCAATGGGTTCCGGAGAGTAGAGCTTGTGATAATAATGGCGAGCAGCATCAGTCATGGAAGTAGGATCTTGGCAAAGGGAGTCGGTAGCAGGATGGCGCAAGTGCGGAATGGTGCGTTGAGCTTGACGAACAGCGATGGTCCGCTTAAGGTAGCCCGCCGACCTTTCTCCATGCTCGCGCCACTTGAGGCCAGTACGAAGGGCGTCAGTTTCTGCTTGATCGTTTTGCGCAGCTGCTATTTCGGCCTCCAAAGAGATCAAATACGGGTCAGATCGAGCAGACGTAGCGGCTGTCGTCTTGAGCACCTTTCGTCGTTCTTTTTGAAGAGCCCAAAGGCGGCGGTTGTGGTATGCTCGTTGGTCCTTGTTAAACTTCCTTGCAACTCGGCCAGTCTCCTTCTTGACTAGATCCCATTGTGCTTGTACGGAGCACCCCTCCGAAAAGGAGGCACATAATTTGTCCAGAGCTTGGTACAAAGCATGTCGGAAAAGAGGGTTTGAAGCAAGAGACGGGTGACACCGCCACATGCCAGGACCAACTGGTGCCTTACCAAGGCGAAGCTGGGCGGTAAGTAAGTGATGATCTGTCCAAAGTGGGTTAATAAAATCAATGACAGGGGATGACGAAAAGGAACGGAAGTCCGAAGACATAAAAATATAATCAATGCAAGACCGGGAGGAGTTACGTAAAAATGTGGGTGAAGGACAATGGCTGGGAGGGGTGATACAGTCATGCCAATAGGCGAGTAAATGTGCCTGCCAAATAGCCGGAACACCGCGAGGGGAACGGCTTAAAACTTGGTAATTAAAATCACCAAGAAGAACGCTACGTTCAATCACTCGTGAAGAGAAAATAGGTAAAAGGGCAAGGGATTCAAAGAAAGGTTGACGTGCAGATGCACGAGCAGGTGCATATATAACGAAAATGTTGAAAGGGGCAGATTCAAAAGATGAGTGAGAGGCAGTAACGTGCAAGAAGCGACCGTCAAGCTCCCAGGAAACAAGTGAAAAGGTAACGGATGAATTAAGAGAAACGAGTCCAACATGGTTGGACCAGAAAGAAGAGGTAGATTGAAATTGCATGTTGAAGCGAGATTGAATATCAGGGTCCTCGGCATGAGTTTCCTGTAAGGCTAAAATATCAAGTGCTTGAGATCGAAGAAAGCGAATAAAATGTTTACTGTTATCAGGCTCGTTTGTCTTGGGTAGACCTCGACAGTTGAGCGTACCTATTTTGATATTGATGTCTTTCATTGATTATATTTTGGATTCGGTTTGGATTGGCGAGTGCTGCAGCGTTCACCCTTGTCGTTGGTGGTGAGCCCAAATAGGGCAACGGCAGCGCCAGTGGCAGATTGTAACAACGAGTGATTGGGTGGTGGAGCAGGAGTACAGTCCTCCGTGTCCTTGTCTATTGTAGTATTGTTATCCTCCAAGGGAATGACCCCGTTGGAGACAGGAGACGAATCCTGATTAGATGTGTTTGCATAGAAGTCATTACTGTTACCGGTAGGGGAAGGAGGGCCCGGTATAGAGGGTCCCGATTCTTTGGGTAGCGGCGAAGAAATCGCGGAGTTCACGGGAGAAGGCGACTCAGTAAGGCCGCCCGAGCCGTTATCAACCTCCATATCCTCTGCGGTCAAACGAGGAGAGTTGTGTGCAGACGAATAGTCGGTCGCGCTTGCCTGATCATCATGCGGAGGCGAAGGAATGCTAGTTACCAGGGAAACACCAAGAGCTCCTGCGGGCAGGCCTGGCACGCCAGAGTAACCAATATCACCAAGCGTCTGAGAGGCGGCAACAGGTGCGGGCAAAGACGGGAAAGCGGGCTGTGTGCGTTGCGGACAAGACGACTGAGTATGACCATAGATTCCGCAACGGGAGCAGCCTTGAACATGTCGAGACTTGGCTTTAGGGCAGTGTTCCTTTTCATGAGTGTCGCCACGGCAAATGCGACAGTAAGGTGGAGAGCCATCCCAAAAAGCGCAGACGAAATGATCGTCGAAATCAGGGAATGGCAACGTGTGTGTGAACAATGGCTGATCAGAGTGTGTAACATCCATAGAAACACATCCTTGGCCCATGAAAAAACCGTGTTGGGCAGATCGGAAAAGACTGATGTCGAGAATCTTGCTGTATGGTCCAAGCATAGTTTGGATAGAGCTACTAAGCATTGTTTCAGTGACGTGAGGCAGATCGTACAGGTTCACTGTCAGAAAACCCGAGCCTTTGCGGATTGCAGGAGTACCAAAGATGGCATGATTATTGATCTTTAGGCCATGTGTCTCCAGTTCACGACGTTGTTCATCGGTCGCGGGAGTGATTTCCACAACAACGCGACGATCTTTGAAGCGCATTTCAACGCCCAAGGGAGCAGTGTTTGGGAATTGAGCAGCAATAGCATCAAGAATGATCATACGGTCAAGTGTAACCGATGTCGTCTCAAAAAATAGACTTGGGTTGACAGATGGAAAATACGTGTTGGTGCGTGTGTGTGGCCCAGTGATATTGGGCAAAGAGCACGTCGAGTAGATGGAATGTCTGACACTTTTGATGACAGGTTTGGTGGATTTTGGACGGGCTGATGCACTGTGGGACTTGTGCGCAGATGATGATGATGGATTGTTGGGTTTTAGACGTTTATTGCGACTCATAGGCGGAAGAGATGAATGTCGGACACAAAACCGCCCATTCCCCTGAAAGTTTCAAACTCAATATTTCAGAGCCACAGTGTGTGCTTTTAAGCAGCACTGTTTATCAACAATCAGTACATCATAATCATCAAGAAAAGGCATAGTTCGAAATGCCTTTGAATAGAACTGAGAAGCGTCCAAATAGTACCTGACATCAGACACTTGACAAAAAAAACAGAACTGAAGGAAAAGAAAGCAACAAAGTAATGATGAGACGTGGTGCCATGCACTTATCGTTAATAATTTGTATATGTCTTTTCTTGATGATTATGATGTACTGATTGTTGCTGCAATAGAGCACACGCTGTGGCTCCTGAAATCTTTGAGTTTGAAACTTTCAGGGTAATCTTTGATAAAACGGGGTGACGTGAGGGGTTTTTTTCCGAAAGTGCAGTACACCACAAAGAAAAGCTTTTCACTGCTTTCTTCTCACCCACACTTGCACCAGCTTTCTCTCTCTCTCTCTCTCATAAACATGTCCACCACAACCAACAACATCGACGTCTCCGGTGCTTACTTCTCGACCTGGCCTTCTCCCGTGCCCCGCCCAGGAAAATTACCTAGGAGGAACGTCAGCGCGAGGCCTGGCGCCAGTACAAAGCCATGGCGAAGGAGCTCGCAGAAGGAGCTCAGGAAGCCCAGGCCAAGAGGGCATACTTTGATCGGGTCAAGGCCCAGAAAGCATACACTTGGACTGGCGCCCACCAACCCCGCCCGAAGCCTGGTCAAGCCTTCCACCACTGCCGCAAGCACCAGAAGGGGTGGAACAAGTCGCGCCCCATCGACTGCCGGTTCGCCACTCTGGACGAGAGTACGGGCGCCATCCGTTTTGACAGCAATGCAGCGATGGCAGAGCGCGAGCGCGTCCACAACACGTATATGCAGCTTAGTGCTGCATATGCCTGGGACAAGGACGGCGTTTCCTGGCCGGACATCTACAAGAATGAGTTCCCTTTTGCTCAATATGAGTAATAAAAAAATTTAAAAAAATACTACTAGTATCTGTTCATTGTGTATATATGTTTATTTGGTATTGGTGGGAGGTGGGGTGTTATTCTTGGGTATTCTGTATGGAAAAAAAGGGTGGGTGGGATGCTTGAATAGAAAGCAGGTGGTTGTGTGTAAAAAGGTCATGATGGGCGAGGTAAAGGCAGTAGACAGTCAATTTCGTGGTGGCTCATATAAAAAGATGCTTGGTTCTATTTTGCGCCTTTCTCTTTTACTCAAAAAATTACCCAGGTCTACTTTATAACTCTTTGAATCTTGACACTATCCGACAACGTCGCTTAGCACTTTTTGAAGAAGAGGCAATCCGTTTAGGGTATACCCAAGAAAATAGAAACACCACACAATGTAGCTACTCCGCTAGATCATAACTATGTACCTATGCTACGTATCTGTCTAATAAACCTATGTCGGACACGATTAAGCAGGGAAAGAAGCAAAATGACAGTGACAAACCCTTTTTGGATGAGTGACGAAAAGGAAACCGCGGTTACGAAAAGGGAACAGTGGTAACGAAAAGGGAATGGTTGGGAAAATGACAAGCAGTGAACCAAAAGGGAGCAATGACAAGCGGAGTGACGCTTGAAAACGAAAAGGGCAAGAACCGAGCATAGCACAAGAAGTGAAGAAATAAGAACTAGTCGAGTGGAGTAACGCATGAAGACGAAAAGAAAGGGCGCAGCACAAGCAGTAAGGAAAGATAGCATGAGAATATGACAAGAGCTAAACGAAAAGGAGTAAAGCCGCGGTTGTCAAGGCCACTACTGCTTATTGGTAAAGCGAGATTGAGCAAGCGTGAGGAGATGGTGATGAAGAACGTCGAAAGATGAAGCAATGTTGAGTGATAGTGAGCAGCAAAAGACTTTGGAAAAACAACAGTGGTGCCCCTTGCTTTAGGTATTTATAACCTCCTGGGACTCTGAAACAACAGAGCAATGAACCATCGGAAGAAGTGCTTCCCCGCCACTCGAACATTACGCGTCTTTGTCATCTTCACTTGCTACGGCTGCTCTGTCCTTGCCGTCAACAAAACAATGTTTTTACCTGTCACTACCGTCAATCGTGCTGGCTGCCATCTGTGGTGACGCTATCCTGCTCTTGTATATGGAATCAGCAATGCCGGCGCCCATGTTGCTCTGTCACCTGCAATACATACTCTGGTTTTTTTGGCTGTCGTATACGTTGCTCCATCTCACATTTCTCTCACTATCCAAGAGCGCGGACGTGTATATTCTACTCGTTGTACAGCCGAATTCCTTTCCTTGGGTGTCTTAAACTCTGCCGAACGTATTGTGGCTCTACTTGGCGTCTTTGTTTCCAAGGCTCCTTTGCTGGACGGTCTTGTTTCTTGGTTTTCCTGTGCTTACCAACGATGCTGTGCATAGATGCTGCTCTGCCGCTCCAAACGGATGACCTGTTCTCATAGCGTTCCTGTGTATGCTTAAGCTGTATGCCTTCATCCGCCGTTTTGGATTTATCAAGATCAAGGTTGAGACTGTGTTGTTGCCGTGGCTCTCCATGGATGAACTATGCTTTTGTTCGGACACATGCGTTTCCCTCATGGGTCCTACTGTGTTTGCCGAAGTTATGATCTACATGGTAAGTTTTTCTATTTTAAAATCTCCCTTTATATTTGCTAGTTAGAATTGTTTTATTAAAAACCAGAATGTTTAACAGGATGAACGAGTGCATGTAAACGTGCGATCGAATACGGCAGCCATTGTGGGTATTGGCGACGGTGGCAGAGAAATTTGGATGGGCAGGTTATTCTGTTTGTTTATGGAACAGATGCTAGACCGTTGACCGTGTAGCCATATCAAGATGCTGTTGGTGTGATAAGGTACTTTACGTTTTGATATATGTGTATTGCTGGATCAACTTGAGCTATTCTAATTCGAGGCTGTGGTTTATAATGTAGATACTACGTTTTGTATCATTGTTACGTGTGAGGATCCAGGTAAGTGGTCAAAAGTGATTGCTGGGCAGGATCTGTTGTGTTGGGCATACTGGTGGTGGATAAGTGGTGTGGGTATATAATTCGAGTGCCGGTCTTTGTTTGCTGAAGGCAACAGTGTTGGACTAGAAGGATGGAATTCTTAAATAGAGACGATCAATTTTGAAAAGAAAGCATAATGTTTTGAGCGGGTTAGAAGATGTGCTGTGAACGGCAGTTCTTTTGTCGGATTGCTGATACGACGGATTGTGTGAGGGCACTAGTAAAAGAAATAAAAACAGAAGGCTTTCTGTTTTATAACTTGGCTTGATTACCAACGTACATATGGATAACCAAACAACGATGACATCCGAATATGACAAAGACTATACTGAACCATGATGATCGTGCTGTCTTTGAGTGACTGTGCTGCTGAAAAAGAACAGCACAGCTCTGAATATCACGAACGCTCCCAGCCATCCATCGTATTAGCACCTCTGACAACTCAGCATACACTTTTACTGATATCACTGACATCGTGTGCTTCTCACGAATGTTTGCATACAACGATTTATCTGGATGACGATTAGCAGATTATCTCGCCTGCAACGGTATAATATATAGAGTGTTGGCCACGCGTTTTTATCATATCAAAGTAACAAAACTAAGGCGGCAGTTGTACCCACAACACTCGAACACTATAAAAACTCTGACGAACGAATATACAACACACGTTTTACACAATTCCTCAGTGGTCATTCCAATCACTGTCAAACCGGCGTTTTCTGATATCAGCAACGCCATTGCACGTACAGAGGAACTCGTAAGTATATATTCTATGCCAGCCGGTATTTTTTGGGCAGATCTATTTGCACCCCCCCCCTCGTGCATCCCCCCAGTCACTGCCCGGCCCGGATTTTTAATTTGCACACCCCTCCTACCGGAACACCTTTATTATGCAGAGAAGGAGTTATGAAAAAATCATTGCTATTTTTGACGAGTCTTTTTCATTTATAAAGCCCGTACTATTAATCATTCCAAGCAACGACAGGAACATTCAAAGCACTCATCCAGTGATTCCTTTTAAAAAAAAACAGCTCTAAAATAGGCCGTGTGTGGGCGGGTAGGTTATTTTTATGCAACGAGACTAAAAGTCTTAGCAACGATTTCAACTAGAAAGAACAAAAGGAAACTTGTTTTGCTTTCTTTTGCTTTTAATGCTATAGGTGACAAGACTTGAACAAATCTACAAGCATTCAATGCTTTCATCGGGGCTGACAAAGAGATTATCGAAATTTACAATGTAAAGATGGTAAATTACAAAAGAAACCTGATTTTCTGTTTATTTCTTCATGCACTTTGGCTTCTTTGTCGGTACTAAGGCGGTTCCCTTACAGACAAATCAGCATTGTGCTGGATGAAAAATGAATATGACTAGAGTGGTGTGATTTGAAGGCGATTGGCCGTTGTGCGGGTGGGCTTTATATGTTCGCTGGTGCAGTGGACTATGTGTTAAGGAGAGGAGTATATCTTTTATGTGGTCGTCCTTTCTCATTTTTTCTTCTAAAAGTCATCTTAAAACGACGAAGCAAATATCGATGATGAAACTGATGACTGCAACTGGTATTAAATGTCATTACACTCGAAACATTGTGTACACATTAAATACTTTTGACGAACTATGCGAGTGTATCTCTGTTTTCCCTTGGCTATTACCTAGATGGCAAGATGAACTCCAACATTGAACAGACACCATATGGATGGTCCGACATATTCAAGGAACTAAAGAGTCCAGTAGAATGCGCAAGGGGTTACTGTTTTTTGCATACACACACACACACGCTGGCAGTCTACTGCTCATGCTGATAAAAAATGGATTGTAAACAAAAGTTAGAAAAATAATAAAGGAAGTGGTATCATCAGACTATCCATCCTATTCAATGAACTAGTACTTTGCAGCCTCATGGGTTCACCTATTCCTGGTCAATGTATCTATCGGTTTAAACATGTGTATATCGGATTAATTATATGAATATCAAAAAAAGAGAGAGGAAGAAAAGTAAAGGAAGAGAAGAGAGAGAAAAGAAAGAGTGGGCAAGAAGAGACATTGTGCTACTAAACATGATAAGGTCCAGTTAGGTCAACTGGCTTATAATCAGAATGTTCTGCTTCAGATCCAGATGAAAGAGAATGTGCATTTAAGTTTTCTGGAAGGGGAATAACCACATAGATCATGCTTTCGAATGCGTCTTGGAATAAGGGATACCATTGATCACCTCGGATTCTGGCACCACCATCTTTGCGGCCTTTACCTCGAGCATAAGGGTAGCAGGCAGGCCATTCAATCAACGCACCCGGCCTGAGCTGGATGAAAATTATGTGGTTGTGAATATGCTGCATGACGATTGGAGTTGTACGTATTGCTTGGGATGGTTTGCTTAGTAAGGGGCAAAATAACGAGGATTCAGTGCCAAAGAATGCTATAGGCGTGTTGAACGCATCTGAGGCGAGCTGAGCACACTCTGGATAGTAAAACTAATGGTGCGCACTGGGATAAAGAACACTAAGCATTCTTTCAGCGTCGAAACTCTCATAGATACTTTTTGTGCGATTTTTGATAAAGAACTCGCGCATTCCGGCCTTGATATCAATATATCGTTTTTCATCTCCAAGTAAAGTAACAGCTAATGAACGGAAACCACAATTTCCATCTGGCTTCGGATTGTGCACTAAATTCACAGTAGAGCGTGGAATTGCATCGCAGACCATGTCCAGGTTTGGCACAATAGGTGGATCAGCAGACGGAAAAGGTGATGGTAAAGAAGCGGGCAAAAAGGATGACCAAAAAGGTGGCATTGTAAGTTGTTGTTGTTGCTGTTACTGTGGTGGCGGTGGCGGTAGTGGTATGGTAGTGATGTCAGCTTTAGCTTTATGCTTGCCCTCCCTTAGTAAACCTAGTCAGTACTGTATATCTAATAGCAATAGAAGATCAATTACAGCAAGGATTATACTGTTACTAACCAAATATCGGCTGCTTCGCGACCCGCGTTTGTTTTGGCTTTCTTGTTGCTTTCGTTCTGTTGGTGTTCCAAAGCAATAAGATCGCGCTTCGAGCTGCGCTTAGGTTTGCCTTTCGTTGGTCGAGATTTTGGCTGCTTCAGTTGCTTGATGTCTATAAAAAGATCATCGCTGATGGCTTGCATATGACGTAGAAGAGTTGAACGTTGCTTTTGATCAGGTAATCGATGCAACATAGTGGTGATACGCGTGAGCTCAGCCTCGATTTGACTCTCCATGGTGGGAGCAGAATATGATTGCGAAATCGCTAGAATGTTGCTGCTACTGTGGATTGTTTCTTCCTCTACATAAGGTTATCACATCTTAGTATAACACGTAAGAGTGGTATTAGATTATCCATACCTTCAGGAGCTGTCTTTTCAGGATGGAGATGCCAGCGTCTAGGGATAATAATCAAAGGAATTTTTCCTTTAGGTGGTATCATGTGACAACAAGAAATTCCGTAATGAGCTTTGGTTGCACATCGACAATTGTCATTTTTCAACGGATTTGGATATACAAGCTCCTTGCGAATTGCATTAAAGGCGAATTTTGATATATGGCGCTGTAAATCTATGAGCCTTTCCTATTGACTTGGCGGGTTATGAAAGTTTACACCGAAATGTTCGCTGTCCAATTAACGATCCCAACTTAGATTCTGCACAGGCAAAAGCAACACACAGCGAACACGATTAGCAATGAATGTGCGTAGAACAAGATTGTAGGTAAATATCAACTAATATATATATATATATATATATATATATATATATATATGTACCTTTAATCTGTAAAATTCATCGATTTGCTCAAAAGCAACGTATAGGTTACCACTGGCGGACTGTATGGCCTTCTTCATATTGGCGTGCGTTCCTTCAACTCTATTGGTGGTACTATTCCCAAGATGCTTGATGTAACGGTGCATACCGTTACGACGATATCCAACCTGCATGGTTGACGATCGACAACGCATGGTTCAAACGATAGGATGACTTGCGGTCAACCGCATGGTTGAATATGGAGTAATAGGCGTGGATATTCTGGATAGAAGTTATGATGTAGATCAATACTTAGACGATAGCTAGCCCCCTATTACTCGACGTATATATAAAGACGGGATCCTGAGTTATATGGATCCCTATCGTTTTGTCCTTTGATATATCCGAGTCTCACCTTATTCATTGATCCACACTGTCTACCCATTCACATTCACGATTGTAAGTATCTGGGCCGACACTGTTACATCTGATAGCGGAAGCGGTTTTGTAAAACCGTGCTTGACGTTCTGAGCAGAGACTATATCAAGACGTAATGCACACGACTTCTCTTGGTCGCACGATCATCAAGAGTAAATTTTCAAACGAGTCTTCTCTTGATCTCGGACACCACTCGTATCCCGGAGCGAAAATGGCAGAAGACCATCAACTCCGCAATCTAAACCAGACGACTGGCTGTGCTTCGTTCTCGCCGGCCATTGGACGTTCATGCGGTCCGAGTGCCCATGCAGCACATGCTGCAGACGATGCTGCATCCTCAGCGACGGCTACCTCAGGGGCAACCCTCGAGCGTGTAGCAACCACGACCAGCGCAGGTACTGCCGATCAAGGGGCAACCGCGGCGGCGACGACGCCCATTGTCGATCAGGGGCAGCCAGCCGCACCCCTTAGTGCAACCATTGCGACGACAGTCCCTCCCACGAACACCAACATGGCGACGGCCATTGACGCGTTGCAACGCCATGCAGCAACGACGCGCCAGAACTTCGAGGGCATCCGGTCAGACCTCGACGCCATCAATAGTCGTTTTGGTCGCCTGGAGGAGGCCGCCACCAACACAACTGCAGCTGTCGACAATCTGACGGCGCGGTTGGGCACCCTCTCATGCTTTCTCTTTAACAGACGCTACTGCTCATATGGGAGAATTGGAGTTTGCTAGACATATCTTGATCCGACGAAATGGCTTTATTAGTGGGCACAAAGCAAGGATTTTGATTGATAGCAGGGCAACACATGATTTTGTGACGGCTGAGTTCCTGAAACAAACAGGACTCATCT